AAAATAATAAAAAATAATGAAAATTCGTAAAATATACCAAAAAATTAATAAAAAATTTTTGAATAATAATAAATTTAAAAAAAAAAATTTAAAAAAAATAAAAAATAAAAAAAATTAAAAAAAATAAAAAAAAATCAAAAAAATATTTTTTTTGTCACCGCCGCCTATACCGCCCCAGCACCACCACCTCTAGTCATTTGGGGAAAAAATGCCAAATTTATTATGAATTCCATATTTTTGGCATAATTCAGAATGATTTAAGATGGAAGAAAAAAAATGTTGGCATTCTCAAAGAGAAATATGCCATATTTTGGCATTTTCCGAAAAAAATGGAAGTTTGTAGGAAATATGACATTTTTTTTAACGGTCGGAGGTGGTGGTGCAGGGAGGCGGTACCACCACCTCCTCTCACCGGGGTAAAAAAATGCCAAAAAAATTATGAATGCCATATTTTTGGCAAAAGTCAAAAGGATTCAAGTTGGCAGAATGAAAATGTTGGCATTCTCATAGAGAAATATGCCATTTTTGTGGAATTTAAAAAAAAGTGGCATTTTTTACACCGATCGGAGGTGGTGGTTCAGGGAGGTACTACAGGCGGTGGGAAAGGTATCCATATTTTTTATAATTTTTTTTTATGGAGTTTTACTATTTTTTATTAATTTTCAAAAAAAAAAAAAATTTAAATTTTTTTTTTCTTATTTTTTATTTTATAAAAATTTTATTAATTTTTTTATTATTTTTCTACAAATTATTGAAATTTTTTCGAATTTATTATGAATTAAACATTTAATTATGACTTTTAGCTATCTTTTACTAATATTTAAAGGAGGGGTAAGAATGGAAGGAAGAAATGAGTATGTTTCCAATAGGACCACTATGGTCCTATTTTGGAAAAAAAACATAGCAAGTCCTATTTTGAGTTTTTGCCATAGTTTTAGTCCTATTTGAAGTAATTTCTATATGAATTATAGGGATTTGTAGTAGCTTTAGTAAGAAGGGCAGCAGCTGGTTGGGATGATCTTTAACGCCAAAAATCCTTGACCATTGCAAAATGGGCAGGGCCATCGGAATTTAAAAAGCCATAAGTTTTGACAGGTTAGTTATTAATTAATGTAAATAGATCTCGAAAGATGTATTTGCACAACCATTAATACTTTTCTTTTTTGAGAAGTGCATCAGCACAATCGATATTATTCATTTGCCAGCTCACGATAAGAAGTGCATTAAACACAACACATATGATATTTATTCTGCCACTCCCCCTCCCCCCCACACACTCCCCTATTCCATTTTTTTGCTACAATTTTTCCCGCCCACTCCCTCCTTCACTATTCCGTTTTACTATATTATATAGATAGACTTGATGTCTTGATCAGGTTGCCCATTGACGGTGCAGTTGGAACTTTTTTTTTTGTCAAAAAAAGTTCCAACTGCACCGTCAATGGGCAACCTGATCAAGTCTATTTAGGAGGCGTTTGAAATTGATTTTATTTTTGTTTGCTTTTTAAAAGCATAAACAGAAATCAGAATCAGTTTTTCAGAAGTTGGTCTATTCCAACTTCTAAAAAATTGTTTTTAAGAGCAATTTAGAGCATGTAGTATTATTTCTACACATCCACTCAAACACTCCAATATCTGCTTCAGCTCCCCGAATGAGCAGAAGCACTTTCCAAAAGTAGATCCAAACACCCCCTTACATGTGCAATAATAAAATTAAAGTAAAATAATGTGTCAATTGTGCATTTGACGTGACAACTTAAAGGGTTAAACAAGCCCCTGAACGTGATCAAATTATTTAATTCACCATCTCAACCCTTATCATTCAATTTGTAAGTCTAATAAAATTCAACAAATCATAGTTCGGATTATTATAATCAAATACATAGATATTCTTTTTTAATTGGCTAAACATGTAGCTGATCATGTGGGACCATTATTGGAAGAAGGCTCCTAAAGCTGAGATTATTTTAGAACCCGTTTGGTGACCCTGCTTTTCGACTAATCAAGCTTATCAGTCAATTTTTTCACCAAACACGTAACTTTTGATTCCACACGCTGAATATGTAATAATATGAAAAAGTAAAGTTGAAGTTACATTTCTGGCTGTATTGGGCTGGAGTTACTGTAGAGGATCATTTTAGTTGGTTTATCCTATAATTTTTTCTTTATTTTATTAATAAAATATATTTTAAATATTTTTTATATATCAACAGAACTTCATAAAATTTTTACAAGTCAATCAATACAGCCAATTTGAATATTACCAAATAGACTCTGATAATTTGGATTACTACGAGATGACAAACAATATTTAGATTACTGTTATTATAATTTTCTCCATTTTAATATTGCCATATAAGAAATTAAAAAATGCTCAAAGCAAATGTAAAATGTGGACAAAGATAAAAGTACAACTAATTATCTTTCATTCCCATATATACGGAGTAGAACTTTTATAGTGATAACACGGAGTAATAAAATACTTGATAGTATAACAGTAACAACGTTTTCTTTTGGGTGTGAAACTGTGTATGAGTAGTAGTCACGGACTTTAGTCACGGATTTTGTCCCTGACTAGCTTAGTCATTGACTAGTCATGGATTTAAAAAAAAATTAGTCACGAATTTGTCCGTGACTAACCAAATCTGTGACTAACACCGTGACTAAAGTCCTCCGGTAGCCCCAACTCAGTCGCCGGCGTGTCCGTTTTTATTCCGGCACCTTAGTCACGGATACGTCCGTGACTACTAAAAAACATTAATTTTCAAATGCTCCAAATTTATTTCGCAACGGTATCTTGTACGGATGAAATTAGTCACGGAAAAATCCGTGACTAAAAAACGAATAATAATATTCCCACACGTAATTCACACGGAATGGCTTAGTCACAGAAATATTCGTGACTAAGTCTGTGACTAGTTTTTTTTATATATGCATGCCCAGTTCATTCAACAGAACCACACCAATTCATTCCTATTATATAAAATAAAATATCTGTTTGAAAGATCGAAGGATGTAGAAGGATGTAATCCATCTTATGTCATTTTCCCTGTTTATGCAGATAATGTATGTTATTTGAATTCTTTTTATTTAGAATTAGTTGGTTCAATTTAAATAATTAAAACTAATAAATTAGTGAGGTTGTTAATTAATTAACAGTATATTTAACTATAAATGTAGTGATGTCATAAAATTAGTTAAATTTTTAGGTTTATAAAATAATTTAATTAAAATTAGTTAGCTAAGCGTAGGTTTAACTTAGCTAGACGTAGGTTTAAACGTAGTGATGCATTAAGTTAAATTAAGTAAAATTAGTTAGCTAAACGTAGGGTTTAACTAATTAAGTTAAATTAATTAGTGAAGTTAGTGTAGCTTTTGATAATATTTGTTAAATTTAAATATTAGTTAATTGAAATGTGTATAAAAAAGGTTGGTAATTAATTAACGAAATGAATTAGTTAAAATTAGTTAAACGTAGCATTAATTTAGATGTAGTGTTAAATTACTTAAATTTTTTATAATATTAGTTAAATTTAAGTATTAGTTAATTCAAATGGGTATATATATAGGCTCAAATTATTAGATTTTATTATTAGCAATTAATGTTAATGCCTAAATTAGGATTTGTAATGGGTTAAGTTTTGATTAAAACATTACTTAGATTTTGTGAATTGTTATTGTGAATTATTTGAAGTTCATTTAGTTTAGAATTGTTTATTGTGTATTATTAATTAGATTTTGATAATTTTAGTATTGTGAATTTCATTTAATTTAGTAAATTGTTTATTGTGTATTATTAATTAGATTTTGAAATTTTTTGTATTGTGAATTAATGTCATTAACATATTGTTTGTAGTTTAATAATATTCATTGGACGTTAGTTAATTTTAGTGAAATGTAGTGAAATTTAATAAATAAATGTTCCTAAACATATCAAATTATTGTTAATGCTTAAGAATTACTGTCATTAACGTAATAATTTAGTGTATTTAGTGTTAAAACCCTAATATTGATTATTTAGTGTTAATGAATAAATTATTAGTTAATAATTTAAATGATTAATGTCATTAACGCATTAGTAGTTCTAGTTAATTAACAATATTAATTGAACGTTATCTAATTGTAGTGCATTGAAATTTAGTAAAATTGAATATATTAATGCTCCTACGTATGAATTAGTGAAAATATTTAACATAACAAATTGTTGATAATGTTTATGATTTAAAGTTTTTAACCTATATATTTTTTTACTAGTATTATTATAATATTCAAGCATAATGTAGGCAAAATAGAAGTTGGATGTATGAAAAAAATGCGGTATTGTACGGAATGCAATCAAATTTCCTCGAGGGATGTGAGGAGTTTATTAAATTTGCACTTGAACACCCGGATTATATGAGTGGTGACAAAATCAAATGTCCATGTTCAAAGTGTATGAATCTCAAGTTTAAAGACCCAGAGGAGGTTGGGTGGGACTTGTACGCGGATGGTTTCGTTCCCAATTATTATAATTGGGCGACAAAATTTGAAAATTTGAACCCTAAAAATTTGGCGGTTTGTTCAAAAATTTAAAACTTAGTCACGGATTTGACCGTGACTAATATTAAAAACCAAAAAAAAAATAGTCACGAATAAACGCCGTGACTAACTCGCCGGCGTGGTTATTCCGGTCACAAATTAGTCACGGACACGGTCTGTGACTACGCGTCGTCACGGAAAAAACGACTGTGACTAGAGTTAGTCACACCCATTTAGTCACAGACTTAGTCACGGAAAAAATCCGTGACTAGCAGAGTTAGTCACGGATTTTTGACACTACGGTCCGTGACTAAATCCGTGACTAACGCCCTATTTTTTTGTAGTGCGTATAACCTTTTATGGCCTCATACTAACAAAAATGTATTACCAAATAATTAAGGATGTATTACAAAAATGATTTTGCTTGGTGATCTGGTCTAGTCCGTTGTCTGTTAAGTCTGATCTGGGACAGAAAACAATCCAGATAAAAACATCTTAAATGTACATTGAAGATGAACAATATGTTCCATGAAATTTCGCATGGCCTGATGATATATTTTAAGAAGAGGAACATATAGATATGCATTGCAATTTCCCCAACAACCAATGACATTCTCGTTAAGACGTAAACAAGTGAAACTTTCTAAAAAACACTAATTTAAGAGCTCAAAATAATCTCTCCAACGAGATATAAAATGCTTGAAACCGAAGGCCGGTTTCATGAAGTAGTTATTAGGCATTTCAATTATTGTTCCCTAGGGAAACCCAATCTATATATGACTGCATTTGCAACAAGTGCAGCTTCACTCCTCCCCGTTCTCCCCCCTGTTATCTTCATAGTTGTGCAACTGATGGGTGTGAAGTGAAAATGGAGTTGAGAAGGGCAGCCAAACGGACCCCGCTTTGAGATAACCTCTTTTCCACAACCGGCAGCCTTGAGAGAAAATATTCATCTGCTTAAAAACAATGTAGTGAAAGACTCGTAAGAACATAGCAATGAAATATAATTCTTTAAGTATATATACATGCAGACATGCAGTTTCTGCAGGAAAACAAATATATGTGTTTTTAAGGAGGAATTTGAGAAGAAATACAGACGGAAAAACATTAGGTGTTTATGGGGCATTTTGTTAAAGCTGGAAAATGGAATCACTGAAATTCTGCTTGTATGAAGAACCGACATGTTGTAGTCTTTTTTTTTGTTATTTTTTCGAACAAAATGACTTGTTACAAAGTTATTTTTTCCCCTTAATCATTTTTGCACAGAAACACTTACAAAATATATAGCATTTGATCGAACAATTATCGAAACACATCTTTGAAACAACACCATTCTCATACCAAAAAGTCTGTTCTGAAAACGTACGAGTTTTGAAACCTGGAAGCACCTTTCAAAACACTTACCCAAACACACCTCATTAACACAAGGACATGTGGTCTCTTGTGGATGTCGATTTTTTTGGTGGCGCTCTCAAATAATTTCTTGAAACAGGTGGTAAAACAAGAGTAAATTAAGGAACACAAATACACAATAGCCTCAAATGTTCATTTAAAGAGAACAAGAAACGAAAAAGAATGCACCTCCCAAAGTGCTCCCAGGCGTGGCATTTCTGTAGGCAAATTTGCAGGCTAAACTAATACTTTCTGAGGCATACCTGCCATACATAGCAAACATCAAAGTTATATTGATCCATGACTGGTATACTTAACTACAAAAATGTAGATTGGTGATTCGAGATAAAAAATTAAAGGAATGGAAATTTAGCATATAATATACATACGGGTCTGGACAGACGGACTCATTGCAACTTTCCAGCAAATGAACATCAACGGGCCATTCATTCTATCAGCAACACGCATTTAAAAAAACCGGGAGGATATTATAGAAAGGAATATCAATTATCAAGCTACTTAGTTGCCTATATTTAATAAAAAAAGATAAACAAAAAATTGCAGAGTGTACTTCATGCTTAATGCATTTCAGGCATTAAAATTCTGTAAAGGAGAAATGAACTGAAACAAACCGTGATATTGTTTTGAAGAGCTAGAATCATCAGTGTAAGATTAGAGTCATAGATGTTCTTTACCGCAGTTTCGATGATATTAGTATCCCATACCTGGATCGAAAAGCATATCAAGATATTATTATAAAAGTAAAATAAATAATTTTATGTAGACTCTAAGGACTTGGAAGATTGATGCTAGACACTTGTAACTACTCACATGGTGCAAATTAGTCTTCCTCCGGTACCACCGGACAATTATTGAGTTTCCCCCTTCATCTCCAAGGAACCCTACGTGAAGAGGCTGCAAGAAAAAAATGAATTTCATGTATAACTACTAGAGAAGAAAATAGGAAGGAAAATATGGGGGAAAACTGGAAAGAAGGATAGAAAATGTGGGAGAAAACAAAAGATAGGCTACAACTCAACAAATTAGTTTTATATATATTCATTTTTATTTGTTTATGTCTATTATATGAAGACTAACAAATCTAAATATATGTAAACAATCTAGAAAAATTAATAGCATTTCATTTTCCTTCTCTATTGTAAAATCAAACATAAGAAATATCTTCCTTTACACTGGTTCCCTTTTCCCTAGAATTTCTGGGATCCAAAAATTTCCTTAGTACCACATGGCTACAGCATTAGTCGACTAGATAACAATATCCCGAGTCTTTCTTGTTAAAAAGATTACAAACCTGATGGACATCACCAACAAAATGTGATAAGAACATGAGTGCTTCTGTCAAATTGTCTACAGCAAGAAAAATTAGTCTAAAGATGCAGTATTTAACTATGATACAATAGGAATTGATTCTTACAATTTGTTTTTGAGTTTGAATTATTGTAACCCAAAAGCTGCTCAGTGTAGTTGTGAATTGCTGCAGTAACACACCTCTCCTTATGCCTCTTAGTGTCATGGCAATCCCCTTTGAGAAAGATAAAGATAATAATCTATTAAAAATACTTTAATAAACAGTTTGTTTACCCCCAGTCCCACCCCACATCTTTCCCAAACTCCTAGTTTAGCCTTGATCTCAAAGCCGGCCTAAACTAGAAATCATTTCATTTTTCTTAACATTCTCCAAGGTAACACCAAACACAAGAAAACAACATTATTTACCATCCTTACATTCCCTAAGTATTTCTGTGATCCAAACATAGCATTTGGGTCTGCTTAGATCTCGGGAAATTATGGAAAGGAGACGGAGAGGAAACATAGAAAAATTAGAAGGAAACAATATGTGGGGAAAAAAATAAAAGGTATGCTTAAACTCAATAAAGTTATTTTAGATATTTGTTGATACCCATATACCTTGTCAAAGTCTATTATAGAGTATGTCAAGACAAAATCTTAATATATGTTAGAAGAAAAAAAGAAATACGGAGTAATAATATTTCGTTTTCCTTTGCATTTCTGAGGGCTACCCAAACATACCCTATAAGTTCTGGGAAAAATGACTGATACAGCTTGTAGTCTATCAATAGAGAAGGAAACCTTACTGGAAAATTTGTAGTTGCATAAAAAATCAGGTGTGTCAACATAATGTAGACTCTTGCTCCAACCGTAGTGTGCATGATAACGAACTAGATCTGCCCAATCACAAACATTAGCAAGTTCTCCTTTAGCTTCATCAGGGAGCAAGTCTTTTACCACTTCGAGAGCCTCTTCAGTTAGATATTCCTAGAATAAACAAATAAATTTAAAAAAAACAATTATTTCCGGTATTCCAGATGAATTGCTCTAAAATGATCTTTCATGATTACAACGAACAAAACATTTCCCCTTTTTACCTTAACCCCAATGATTTTAGGGTCGGTGAAAAGAAATTTATAATGTCAATTTATTGTGTAAATTAGTTAATATAATTAGCCGATCCCAAAATCTTTTGAGACCAAGACTTGGATGTTGTTGTTGTAGTTAATACAATAAATTCATGCACAAAGCATAGTAGCAAAGTGTTACACTGAAAATAAAGAGGTAAGAATAAAAAACTGTCATCATTCATCAACATAGGTTTCTCCATTTGCGTGAAAAGTATCCGAACAAATCACCTTACTTCCCTTAAGAATTCATTTGGAACTCGAAAAGTGTAAGGGGAAAGATGTGGGGTGGGGGTAAACAATTGGTTCAAACTCAACATAAATATTTTTTATATTTGTTCAAACTCATTAATTATTGAATTCTGCTCTACAAATACTAGGAAGCATATATGTATGTTACATGTATACCTTTTTGAAATCATTAATCCTATTTCATTTTCCTTTTCATTTCCCATAAATAAACTAACACACAAGAGATTGATTTCCCTTGGGCCTTTTTTGGCAATGATACGAGCAGGGAATGTTCAAAGAAGGGTTTTGAAAATGGTGTATTTATTTCAATCATACTCGTAATGAGCGGAAGTAATTCATTAAGGGCAGGACAGCAGGACTATAATTTCATACCCACCCCTTGATTCATTTTCCTTAGTTCATTTTATGCATGTATCATTACTTTTTTCCTTTGATTTCCCTGGCTGGGATACAATCATACACCATAATGGAAAAGAGGGGGGATGAAGAAATGATATAATGTAACTTTCCTTAGCCACCTCCCCACTTTCCTATCCAAACTTCCTTATTCAGGCCATCATAGAAACCCAGCAAGTTGAAAGTTTTCTGAAGACGCTTGAATTAGAAAATAAGCTAGCTTTTCCCCCTTTCTTCACGACCAATATCAAGATTATCTCAGTCTACGTTCTTTTATTCCTCCATCTCTAACTATCACCAAAATTGTTGGAGATAAAAAATAATGTGTTTTCTCCAAATAGTAGTATTATATATTTTCTTCTTTCCCTAAATAGAAGTACCACATTGGTCATCTTAAAATCATAGTCACATCTTATAGCATTACCAGGTAGTATGACACTATGGTTTCCGTATGACAGCAGTCACAGCACTTACCGCGATAGGCGCTATTTAAAGAAACATAGTACTCAGTACTCATATTTAGGGAAAACGCTTTGTGTTTACTTTATTTAGGACAATTTTTTACATTCTCAAATCTATTATATTCTTACCCCTTTATAAAAAAAAGACTCAAATTCATCTGTTTGGCAATTATACTTTTAGTCATGGTTTCTCCACCTAAAAAATGTACATACAAAAATAATGGATTTAGATAGAGGCAGGAATTGATAGGTAATTGCATAGTTTATTGATGCACGGATTACACAATTTATACAGGGAATTTCTAAGCTATTCAAGGTAAGATTATATATGAAATATATTACAATAAATGCTGAAGATCAGATTTGGTTCTATATGAAATATATCATAAATAATGTTGTAGATCAATTTGATTTACAGTTCCATCTAGAAAAAAATAGTTTTTATACCATAGTTGTTAATTAAATATGGAGTAATATTTATTAATTCTCTAATTTAATTTTGCTTCATAATTATCAATTGAGAGAAAATAACAATGCAAGCTA